AGCTCACCAGCCCTTAATCTCATTTTTTTTTCCTAACAGTATTTATTGTCTGTAGTTCTTCAAGTCATCATGTATTGACCTTCACTGCATTCATTTCTCAGCACCAAAAGATAGAAGCATTGACTGGCCCAGCTTCGATAGGCCCCTGGCTATACCCTGCACTGCTCAGGGGCTTAATACCCAAACAAGGGTCAGGGGGCTCTGGAATGGATCCAGGATACTTGCAGCAGCCCCAGGCCTGGCTTCAGCAGGGATATAGCAAGAGCACCTTGTTTCTTCCCCTCCTGTGGGGTAGGGAAGCTGAGGCCCCTCCCTCCAAGCAGGCACAGTCCCAGCCACAGAACCGGAGGCCCATACGAGCAGACACCTCCTGCAGCTGGGACACAGCAGCAAAACCTCAGAGTTTATCAGGATGAAAAAAGTCAAGAGCGAAGAGGGGAAGGCAGGCGCTTCTTAATAATGCACGTAGGCGATTTCAGAGCTCAAGTTCAGAGAAACAAATTGAATTACGGAGGAGGCAGCACTGCCATTTGCAACACGGGATTGTTTGAAATCCTTTTAGAGGAAAATTAAAATATTTCACAGAGGGTAATAAAATGCCGGGTGCTTGGCAAGCATGACTGCTCAGCTCTCTTGGGCAAATAAGTAATTAGGTATTTTTATTTAAGGGCTCTGTGTCGTCATTTTGTTTCATTAGTGGAGGGGTGGAATGCTGTTGTGGAAAACACATAAAACTCTGAAATCATCAGAAAGTTAGTTATAAAATTAGTTTTTAAAGTCCAAAACAACTGCATTTTAGTGAGCCAAAGGAAAGTTCTTGGAATGTATTATCTCAAATTTATCTTCGATGGGAAGTTGTCTCAAAGATGCCTCTGCCTCCCCATGACCTGGGCATGGGACATCCTCCAAGGCACTGAGTCTCTGGTTAGCTGTGCTAGATCACCTGCCGAGGAACCTGCCACTCGGTCCCACTCCACCATCCCTCACCATGTTCTGCTGATGTAGAAATGGCTAGCCTTTTTCCACCTCCTCAGTCCCTCTGCTCCACAGACGGGGAAGCTATGCAGATGTGTGAAATGTTCTTTCCTCCTCGGCATCCATGGGTCTTTGGGCCAGCACCTGTCAATGTCTACCTCTCCACATAACTCTAGTCTGCTCCCCAGGCCTGAGCCAGGGTTTCAAGAGTGGAGGGTAAGCCAGAAACATGCCCATTGTTGATGGAAAGGTCACCCCAGCCCTGAGCCAATGGAATAGACTGGCGTCTTTTTTAAAAATTAAGTTTCACTATGTTTTGCTTCTGTGCATCTATGGTGCATGTATATGTGTCTGCAGAGGTGCATGTGTGTGTGTGTACATAGGTGCCTCCCCAGACCAGAAGAGGGCATCAGATCCCTTGGTGCTATAGACATTTGTGAGCTGCCCAGGATGGGCTCTCATGTCCAGACTCTGGCCTCATGATTGAACAGCAAGCACTTGTAACTGCTGAGCTCGTCTCTCCAGCCCTCAAGCTGGCATCTTGAATGCACCTTTTTCTTTCCCCAAATGCTCTCTTGGGCAAAATCAAGGAGAGTGAGGATGAGGATTTCAGAAAGCCCTTTTGGCAGGACTGGTCTAAGACCCAGGCAAAGCTACTTCTGAGGTGGAGCACAGATATGACCACGGCTATTTGTTCTTCTTCAAAATCTCTCCAGACAAAGGGTTTTCTCCAGCAGCCATTACTGTTGCAGAAGGCATGCCACCCAAGTAGCTACACAGTCATTTCTAGTGAGATGAGTGGGTGTGTGGCTGGGGTTGGAAGGTGCAAAAGGAAGTGTGTGCATTTGCAGAGCTGCACTCCCAACAGCCACTTTTTAACCCCTTTCCTAGTGCCCATGTGCAAGCATCTTACAGTGGCCTACTGTCCTACATCTCCCCAGCCAACTGGTCTACCTTGAGCCATCAGCAAATAGTAGGTAGGCACCTACTATGCACTGGGCTCCATGCTTGCCCTAGGAACTAGAATACAAGAGATGGACCCACACAGGCTGTTTTCAAATCCGAGGAGATATTTGAGTGTGTCCTTAAGGTATTAAGATTATTGAGAAATTGAGTGTGGACTTTGCCCACCAGGGCAGGGAAGGGGATTCTTCAGCCCATGTTTTTCTAAGACTCCAGGATAGGAAATGCTGCCAGAGGACCAGCAGATGCTGAAGGGTGTGTCAAAGGGGCAAGCAGAGGGAAGGAAAACAAAGAGGAACCAGGATAAAGGATGAGTCAATTGTGTTGATCTGTGGAGTAGGAAAAGAACACTGGAGTGGTGAACACAAACCAGCCTGGCAAAGGGACTGCTGAGTGGCTGAGTGACAGCAGGGGTTCAGCTTCCCCATAGGAAGCTTTCGTCAAACAAGATGGAGCTACATGGCCACTCAGACACTGGACTAGACCTCCTAAAGAGGCCACTGTTGGTGTGTGGGTGTGTGGGTGTGTGGGTGTGTGGGTGTGTGGGTGTGTGTATGTGTATGTGACACGCACACACATGAGCATGCACAAGCAAGCACACACAATTGTGTGTGTTTGGGGAAACAGAGGTCAACATTAGATATCTTCCTCAATCACTCTTTATTGATTGATTGATTGATTGATTTGTTTATTGAGACAGGGTCTCACTCTCTAGCCCTGGCTGGCCTCGAACTTACAGAGATCAACCTGCCTCTGCCCCCTGGGTACTGGGAGTAAAGTTGTACACCACCATGCTTGGCTCCACCTTACTTTTTGAAACAGAGCCTTTCACAAAAGCTGGGCTCACCAAGTTTGCTTGGCTGTCAGGCCAGCGAGCTCCAGCGATTCTCCAGTCTCTGCCTCCCCAGCACTTGGATTACAAGTACACGCTCCCTTGTTTACATGTAGGTGCTGGGAGTCTAGACTCAGGTTCTCATTCTTGGGTGGCAGGCACTACACAGCTAAGCCATCTTGCCAGCCCCGTTTGGCCTCTTTTTTTTTGTTGTTGTTGTTCTGTGTGATCTAACTTAAATCAAAACCGGAGAATGGTCTACCCACCATGGACTGCTGCTGAGAGGCATGAGATACATGGGACCACCTGGTCTCAAGGGGCTTATACCAGGTGAAAAAAAAAGCCCATCTCCATCAATGACATCCTGTGTAATTTCATGTATGTCACACTTGATTTGACTGACATGGACCGGGGATGTAGCTTAATAGTAAAAGTCTTGCTTAGCATGTACAAGGATCTGGATTTGATCTCCAGCACTGCACCAGAAGAAAAGGGGAAATGAGGAAAGCAGAGAGGTGGGAACTGGTGGCTAGAGGCAGAGAGAGGGCACACTGTGGCTATCAAAGAACGAGACAAGGACACACGTTAAACTCTTCTGTTTGGACATCGTGATGTTTCCAGGAGTTGATGCCATGCCTTGAGAAAGAACCAAAGAAACATGTATACAAATGGGTCTGAGTGGGGTTGCTTTGATTGTGTCTGTGCCCCTGCCTTGTTGTGATGTTGTTGCTATGGTGATGTGAGAGGTTAACTCTGGAAGAAGCTGTGAGGAGAGTATCAGGGGACCTCCTGTAGTAGTTTTCATCGACAGTTACCTTAAAATCAAATGCCACAATACACATCCAACAGCTTGACGATTGAGACCAGTTCTGGATCAAATGGAAAGTTCTGCAGATGGAAAATATTCAGAGAGATTTTACTTTAAAAAAAGAGAGAAAGAAAGAGTGAGAGAGAGAGAAAAAAAGAGAGAAAGAAAGAAAGAAAGAAAGAAAGAAAGAAAGAAAGAAAGAAAGA